GGAAACACACTAAAAAGTAAAATTGCTAGTAATCTTTCCTTTCAAAGTGAATAGTTCTTACAGAGGAAAAAAAAAGAGTCTTCCAAAGCAGGTGTTTCAGGGATTTTTTTGTGTGTGGGGGTGGTTGTTTTTTGGTTTTTTGTTTGTTTTGTTTTATTTTTCTGATTCATAATGAGCAGAAGTGAAATATAATTTCTCTTTTTTTATTTTTAGATTTCAACATTCACTTCCACAGTGAAATGTAATTTCTAAGAAGAGGGGGGAGAACCAAGAATGTGGGGTGGGGAGAAAAGAGATAATACCTTTTTCTTCTTTTCATTCCTCCTTTTCAAACTCCTAAACCATCATGTTGATGTCAGAGGGCAAGCTTCATAAGGCTGCAGATAACACCGTTTTCTGCAGAGTTTCTGTTGGTAGAAGATAGAATTCAATTACTTAGCAGAATAGATGAATACTAAAGTTATAAGTAATATTTTATGAAAGGGAATTTTAAAAGAGTTTCGTATTTTGCACCTCTGGAGACCTGAGATCATGTAAATTTGAGCTAGTATTCTTGAAAAACAACTTGCTTATCAATGGCAGTAACAGTCTATACTTGAACAAATTTATAAAAGTAGGACAAAAACCCATAGAAAAGAAGGTATTAACCATCGCTCAGATATGCTCTCACACAGTGGCAAATAATAGAAATGAACCATTTAGCTGTTCTAATCTCTTCTAGTCAGTGACACAAGACTTTTTTTTTTTTAACAGATCCGGGATTTTGTCAGGGTAATGGTGTAATGAGCTCCCAGAGAGGAACTTTTACTACCAGTGAGGGTTGGCATGGTATGTTCTCCTCAATTTATAGCTTTAGAGAGATGACTGACAATATTGAGAGGATAAGTGGATGGGAGAGGGGAAGGGTTCACCCAGCCAGGTTGTGTCAGTAATAGATAAAAATCAGACTCAGGACTCTGAGATGGCTTCTTTAACTACTAGGTCATTCTGCCAGTGATTTCACTTAGTCTTAGACTTTAGGGATTCGAGACTCTTGCAAAGAATCAAATAATAAAGAGGACATGTGGAATGTTTTGAGCTCCAATTTGTCTCATTTTATGAGTCTCACATGAGTATGACATAGAAGACAGTGGAAAACACTTCACTTTGGCCTCTGTGACAAGCAAAGGTAAATATGTTTCTACTGTTGAGAGAGAAGTGGTTGGCCCCTTTCAACCCATAGCTAAGCTGACCTACAGAAGGCCAGCTGAGATAAAGACTGCTCCTCTCCTAGGTCAACCAAGTTCTTAGTAAGGAGAGATCTGGCCAGGGGCAATGGATAATTCATAGGGCTAACCTGTCTTCTGACGTCTGGTGTGGGGAAGAGGGGGAACAAAAACACAACAACAACAACAAAAATGCTCATAGTCTACCTGCTGAATGCTGTTGAAGTAATCTCGTGCTGACCCAGATGTATCACTCTGGGGCTACTGACTCTTGTCCATTTAAATCCTTCCTGTCCAAATGTTTCCAAGTCTTTTGAAACATTGCCCAGAAATCTAGTGATACTCTGGGGGATGGAGCTAAGGATAAAAGCCGACCCACACCTAAGACTCAGCGTTTCACTAAGAGAAGGGGAAACTGAAAGGGATAAAGGCTTCATCTTTTGGCTCCCTAAGGAGAGAGTGTGTCAGGTCCTTCAGGCAAGGCTAGTCTGCTTAAATCAATGTCTGTACCTCTGAGGAGTGATTTCAGGGGCCTCAGAAAGCCTTGCTGAATATAAAGTCCCTTACCTCTGTCCCTACTATGATACCTAATATTCTGTTAGGATTCTTTCGCCCTGCCATTGGCTTTAGGTTTTTATCCCTGCTCAAAGCAAGTAGCCCTTTTAGGGCTATCACATTAAACAGTTATTGGTAATTTGTGTCTGAGCCTGAATGAGTTTGTTACGGTTCGGTGTTTTTTTTTGTTTGTTTGTTTGTTTTTTAGGCAATTGGGATTAAGTGACTTTCCCAGGGTCACACAGCTAGTAAGTGTCAAGTGTTTGGTGTAAGGCTGGATTTGAATTCAGGTCCTCCTGACTTCTTGGCCTGTGCTCTATCCACTGTACCACCTAGCTGCCCCAGGTTTTTTTTTTCCCCCAAAGGAAAAAAGAGAAAAAAAAATGGCATGAAGAGAGGCACAATGGCACAGGATAGCCAAAGGAATAAGGAATATAGTTAGGACCATAGTGAGACTAATGGTGCTGAAGACAAATTTCTCCATCCCTATTTCACTTGTTTTGCCCACTAGAAGACTTTGGGTCCCTTGAAGGATTTTCCAAGTCCAAGGCCTCAGTGGGAACATAATCAGAGTTAATAGGGAGAAGTAATTTCCAAAACATTCATTTTAGAACATACCAGGTCCCTCCATAGGCTGCTGTTCTGACCTTGTTTTTATCTTTGTACAAAAGCTTTTCAAGTCTTGCCTTTAGCTGATTTAGCAGAGGACAATTGAACCCAAAACTTTAAGCAGTATATCCCTATATCTTGATCAATTCACAACAGGTCTGCTTTACCTTCTTATAGCATTTTCACTTTGGACACTTCATTGTAAAATCCTGTGAAGCCTCATTGGAAAGAGACGAGTACATAATACTTAGTGGACCACTCTTCTGTAGAGCTGGAACTTGTTAGGGGGATGTTTTTGCTTTAGGGTTCCAGAGTTCAAAGGGTGTTGACAATACTTGCATTCCAGCAGCCTAGAAGTGGCTGAGTTTATCACCTGGTTGGTGATAATAATGAATTAGAATAAGAAGCTACCAGCTGACTTCTCTTGGCAGCCAAACCACAGGCAAATTCCCCCTGAAGCCTGCCCCTCTGTGTTCTTACTGCTCCCTATTGGGAGCCTTCTCTATTCACAGGGACCAGTATCAGGTGTCTCACATTCTTATATACTTGAGTCTCCCCCTAAAGCACACTGAATTAATCCTAAACAATGGATTTGCAGGCACGTTTAATATTGATTGCACCATTTCTAAAAGATGATAACCTCATCTCTGATTGTTACCTCTACCACTCTCCACAAAAGCTCATCTTTCTTATACTTCTTCACTTTGGACATCTTGGAACAACAAGGGATACATGGTCTTGAGTTAACAAAATCTAAGATTCTCTTAGTGCCACCTTAGACTCATGACACTGAAATTTTGCCTCTGCCAGTTCATACTTTCCAATCATCAGGGCTCTACCCAGCTGCCAAAGTGATGTTTGTTAAGCACAGCTCTAACTATGTCTGCTCTAGAAACTCTAGTACCTACCTAATGCCAAAAGGTACATCTAGGAACTCCTCCAGTTGGCATTTTAGAATCTTCAATATGATTCCAGGCCACCTTCCCAGACTTGTTACACATTCCTTTCCTTCATGCACTTTGTGGTCCATCCAAACTGGTATACTTACTTTTCCCCATGTACTATAGTCCATCCCCCATCTCTGTTCCTTTGCAAAAGCTATCCTCTATGACTTCAAACATCTCCTTCCTCATCTCAGCATTTTAGAATCTCTGCATTCCCTCAAACCTCAACTCAAATATCATGTCCCACAGAAGTACTTTACTGAACCCCCATTCCTCAGGTTTCCAATATAATATACCTGACAAGGAGTCATTCAGTTTCAGTTTGAATGCCTGATGGAGGAGAAAACCAAGTCCTTCTGAGGGCCACCCATTCCACTTGGGGATTGCTTTAATTGTGAAAATGTTTTTCTGCCATTGCAACTTTTACCCTTTTCTCCCGATTCTGTCCTGTAGGACTAAACAGAGCAAGAATAATCTCTCCTTTTTCCATATGACAGCCTTTCAGATATGTGAAGACAGCTAGGATATCTATCCTGTACCTTATCTTCTCAAGCCATCTTGCCACTTGTAGAAACTTTATCCAACATTTAGGACCAAGCCCTTGTTCTATTTCATTCATCAAACCTTCCCTGGCCACTCCAGAGATTGCTGATTTGTCCTAATTCTGACATGTAAAGCAGGTTTTTTACCAGCAAAATCTTTAAATATAATGCAAATATTATCTTTGTAAAAAAAATACTTTGCTCCTGCGCTCAAGGTTCAGGTTTCCTACTTCTTTGTATCCCCACCCCAAAGCACAGTGGGCTTCATCACCTTTCCTTTTATTGATTTAAACAATTTCCACTGAATTAATAACTTATCCATGTCTATAAAAAAAGGTTTTCACAAATTATTATGGCAGAAAAAGTCATCCTCTTATGGTGAACCTAAATCTGTCTAATAAGCCTCTCCAAACATCTGATCCTCAGATAAAAGGTGTACAGATTGTTCCAGGGGAAGTTGAAAGATATTAAAACTTAAATTAAAACTTCTGAAGATTGCAAAAACTCTACACAGCATTCTGTACGTCTTAAGTTATTGAAACTTAAAACTACACTAAGACTTTTGGGATGCCAAATATAGCAAACCACCAGGCCCAAACTAAAAATGTTTCTTGTGCGGTTGATGCCAGACCTACCCTCTGCTGGCATAGCCCTACTTTTGACACATATAGGCTATGTGGCCCGCAGGAAGTCACATAGTTTCTCAGTGCTCTCAGGGTGCAGTAAGATTATAAATTGCAGATCTGGGGCTGATCTGCATTGGCCGAGAGGGAGTTCCTCACCAGGAATTACGTATGCTTATGAAATCACAAGAATGGTCAAAAATGTGTAGGTCACTATGCTGGGTGCTGTAGATAGAAATTCAGAAACAACACAGTCTTTGGCCTCTATGAACTTACATTTTGTATGAGATAGGAGTTCTGGTAGCTTTAGGTAGACCCTCCTGTAATCACTTCTCCAACTTCAGTAGACAGACAAAAGTCAGGGTTAAAGTGAGGTCATTCTGGCATTAGACTTGTAAGACACGTATTTGTGGAAGAACTGATCATTTGCTTACCTACAAAAATCCAATGAAAATTTTTGTCACTCTGTGCTGCTAATTGAGAAAAAAAAACATCCATTGCTTTTGTTTGTTTGCTTTCCAGATGGGAATCAATGTTGTGGACTCGGCTGTGTCTGGATTAGGTGGTTGTCCTTATGCGAAAGGTGCTTCTGGGAATGTAGCAACAGAGGATTTGTATATATGCTGAATGGTCTGGGACTCAATACAGTAAGTCATTCTAATGCATTCAAATAATATTCATGTATTCCATGAAGCTCCAGATCAGAAGATTTGTAAGAACTGAAAACTCATTCTAAGGTCAAGGTTTTATTTCACTCCTGCAGTGTGCTGAAATTCAGAGATGAAAATCCAGTATCAGAGATAGTTTTAAAATAACAATATTGCTGCAGCTCAGTCACTGAAAACAATAATACCTTACATTTGTTGCAGTATTTTATACTTCAGTTTAAGAGGCAGCATAGCATAGTGGATAGAGATTCAGCTCCAGAGTATGGAAAATAAGAGGAATTTGAGTCTTACCTCTGAGATACACTGGCCAAGTGATCATAGACTAGTCATTTAAAACTTAGTTCCACAGACTACTCTGTAAAAATCTGAAGTTGTAGGAAAGTTGCTGATCTGCCTCAGTGGGGGTCATTTCCTAATGGGGAATTACTGAACCAATGAAATCATAGGTCTAGATGAATCCTCCCTAACCCCATACATCAAAATGAATTCACTATGCATTTATCAAGAGTCAGACACGGTACTAGCTAGGCAGTGGGGATATAAAAACAGAAATGAAATCAATCAATAAACATTTATTAAGTGCTTGCTATGTGCCAGGCATTGTGCCAAGCTCTGGGGATACAAAAAGAGGCAAACGAGAGTTTCTGTCTTTAAGGAGACCACATTCTGTTAGAGGACAAAATTTTCAGTTTCCACATTATATCCAGTATTTCACTTGGTCTGATTGATACTCATGATAACTTCAAGAGATTGATAATACAGATATTATTATTCTTGATTTATAAACAAGGGAATTAAGGTTCAGAGTAATTCTGTGATTTAGCTTTTTTTTTTAAATAGACTGTTAAAAAGTAAAAGGTTTATTAGATATTGGTGCAAAACCATTTAAATGCCCTAACCTTTTGTTGTTGTTGTTGTTGTTGTTGTTTGTCCTTTGTTCTCATGGAGGACTATGACATCAGGAAGGTGATGCCATGACTTGTAAGTGAATTGGATTTAAGTGAGGGAGGGCTGTGCAAAGTCACCAGCCTTACTCTTTCCTCCAGAGCCATCTGCATCCAGTGACAAGATATAGATCAGGATGATTGGAGATGGCCCTGGATGCAGTGGGAGACCTTGGCTTTTTTAAGTTAAGGTCTTTCACAGGTCTCAGTCTCACTAAGGCAATGCCCATTCAGTGATTAAGACTAGGTAAGAAATGAGGGAAAGAATGGCCTCTTATACATAGTTAAAAAAATCAGTTTGGGAGGGGAAAACCCTCAGGGTTTCTGTTGCTTCTTAGATTTTTAAATTATTATTTCTAGAGAAATGTTGTTGATTTTTGAGGGCTGATTTTTTAGCCTGCAATTTTGCTGAAGCTATTCTTAATATATTTGTTGAATCCCTAGGATTTTCCAAGATATCTTGGTGTTTATGTTATAGATTTCTTTCTTAAGGACGGTGCCTTAAACCCAAATCACTCTAGCTCTCATTGATTGGGCAACAATAGGTCCCAACCCAAGCCTCACTTAGTCATAGTTTGGGCCTTGTTGGCTCAGAGTGAGTATAAACAGCAATTTTTTGGCTGTAATATGTAATACACAGTTGGAACTTGTTAAGTATCAGAAATTTAGATTTAAAGATAAAAGGAACGTTAGGAATCATAAGATTTAACACTTTCATTTAAAGACAGCTAGATGGCATAATGGATAGAGAATTGAGCCTACAGTCAAGAAGACCCGAGTTCAAATCTGGTCTCAGACACTAACTGTGTAACTTTGGGTAAGTCACTTAACTTCTCTTTGCCCAAGAAGCAGCTAGGTGGTACAGTAGGTAGAGCACTGGACCTGGAATTAGGAAGACCTGAATTCAAATCTGGCCTCAGACATTTACTAGCTGTGAAGACTCTGGCCAAGTCTTTTAACCTTGGTTTGTCTCAGTTTCCTCAACTGTAAAAAGGGGATAATAGCAGCACCCACTTTGCAGGGTTGTTGTAAGGATCAAAAGAGATAATATTTGTAAAAGGCTCAGCACAGGGACTGGCACCTAGTAGGTGCTATAAAAATGCTTATTCCCTTCCCCTTCCTCCCTGCCTTATTGATGAAGAATCTAAGGCCTAGAGAGGATAAGAGCCAAACCCCTGTTCACACAGGTAGTAAGTGGCAGATCTGGGATAGTAGCCCAGATGCTCTCAACTGTCTTTCCACTTTATTGCTCTGCAATTTAGATTTAGAGCTGGAAGAGACTTTAGAGGTCATCTAGCCCAACTTCTTCTTTTTAAAGATGAGGAAACTGAGACCCAGAGAATAAAAATGACTTCCTCACTGTCACACAGGTAGTAAGTGACAGAGGCTAGATTTTAGTCCAGATCTTTTGACTTTAAAAGCAGTGGTCATTCCATGGGACCACACTATATCTCAAAATGACTTGGGTTGTATCTATCTACACTTACTACATATGGTACTCTAGAAAGAGAGCAATTTAGCTTCCTACAAGGAAAAGTGCATATTAAATTGATTTCAGGAGAAAAAAAAATAAGGTAAACAGTTATGACCATACAGCAAGAGAAGTCAGTCACAGTGTAGTGACCTGAGCATTGAATTTCAACCCAGCAGGCCAGGGTTCAAAACTTGGCTCTGCACTGTGAACTTGTCAAATCATTTAACTTGGCCTCAGTTTCTTTATCTGTAAAATAAAAAAGAACTCTGTTCATTAAGGTCCCATTCAACTCTGAATTTTGCGATATGACTGAATCTCTTGGATCTGAGAAGACCTGAATCTTCCCTTAGTGTACAGGCCATCATGACCTTCTCTAGCTTTAAGTATAGACTCTGTTTTATAAAGTATTGCAATAATATTTTTCATGTGTAAGAGATGGAAGACCTAAAGGAAAGCTTGGTTAAAAAAAATTAGGCTATTGCACTGAGAAGCAAAATAATGACAGTTTAAAATTTGTTCTGCTTGACATTTTAAGTCCTACAAAAGGGTAAAAAGCTGCTGAAATGAAACTCCTTTCTTTGCATGTATTTCAACAATCCAACTTAAATGACTGTTACAAATGGAATTCTGAGGAGGTGATGAGAGGATTTGATGGTTGATGAAGCTTTAAAAGTCTCCTGTGAGCACTTGTTGGAAGATAATTAAGAACTTTTGGTTGGCACATGTAGCCAATCACACAAAATTTCCTTTTAACTCTATGAGAGAATTCAAACTAGAATGTACCCTGGGCAACAGAGAAGGCACCTGAGGACATTTCTGTGACACACTGGGGTTTCCTGAAATAAGAGCCAACCTGAAGTAACTATTGGTTCTTAGAATAGTGTACAAGAAATAGCAATTATGAAATCCATTTACATGTAGTGGATTTTTAAAAATGTTTTAATGGCTTTGTTTTATAAAAAAAAAAAGAGGGGAACTCAAAGTCCTCAAAACTCAAAAACTTCCAAGAAGTTTGCATAGCAAAAACCAGTTAAAAAGGAATATGGTGTATACACACACATATACCCATACACACACACACACACACACACACACACACACGTGCGTGTGTGTGTGTGTATGGGTATATGTGTGTGTGTATGTGTATCTATATATGTATCTATATATGTCTGTGTGTATGTTTGTATATGTATGTATATACACACATTATGTGCATGTATGTGTATATAGATGCATATATAGTGTATACACATGTGTGTATGTGCTCACATATGTTGTTCAGTTTTTTCAGTTGTGTGTGACTCTTTACAACCCCATTTGGTGTTTTCTTGTCAAAGCTACTGGAGTGGTTTACCATTTCCTTTTCTAGCTCATTTTACAAATGAGAAAACTGAGGCAAACAGGATTAAGTGACTTGCACAGGGTCACAGATAGTAAGTGTCTGAGGTCAGATTTGAACCCAGGTCTTCCTGACTTCAGCCCCAGCACTGTATTCACTGTGCCATTTAACACACACACACACACACACGTGTAAATTTCTGAAAATGTCACCACTGTTTTGCAACGCATCGGGACATATGCAAAATTATATTTGTAAAAGAAGGTGTTAGCATGCAAACCATGAGTGTATTCCATAACTACAAAGAAGAACCAAATAAAGCTAGTTTTAAGCAAAAGGAAGAAAGAAAAAAAGAACATTTACTAAGGACCTACCATATCTCTGGCACTATGCTAAGTGCTTTGTAAATATTATCTCATTTGATCCTCACAGCAACCATAGGAGGTGTTATTGCCAATTTGCAGTTGATTTGCCCAGGGTCTCCTAGCTTAGTAAGTCTTTAAATCCAACCTTAGAGGCTATCTGGGTGACCCTAGACAAATTGCTTAACCTGTATTTCCTTATCTGTGGAAGGGGGATAAATAATAGCACCTATATCTGAGGGTGGTTATGAGGATCAAAAGAAATAATATTGTAAAGTACTTAGCACAATGTCTGGAACATAGTAGGTACTAATAAATGCTTGTCCCCTCCTCACTTCTCAAAGCTGTGATTTCTAACCCCACTTTTAATTGAGACAATGGGACATACATACTATATACTACACGAGGGTTAAGTACTAGCTAATCCAGACCAGTGATATCATGCCAAGTTCATCCTTAAAAACCCCTTAGTGTTCTGTTATCAATAAATTTAACTAAATATTTTTTATTGATTTTGTCAGGTTTTGGAATTCCTGGTGTGGAAACTCTCTTCATAGTTGCAGATTACCATTCTGTCTGTAATGTATAGCTTTAGAAAGTTACCAAGAACCTGAATGCTTAAGTGACTTTTCTATGATCACAGAGCCATTATGTGTCAGATTCAGATTCAACTTCTTGTAATTCTAAGACCTCTATTAGCTAAGAACTCTATTAGCTACAATGTACTGCCTCTAAACCATGAGTTCACAATTTGAGGCCCACAAAAAATTTTAATGTATATTTTGATAACTATTTTTATATGGTTGGTTTCCTTCATGATCCTGTCATTTATTTTATGTATTTAAAAAATATTATTCTGAGAAGGGGTCCAAAGTTTTCACTGGATTGATAAAGAAGGCCATGACACATGCAAAAATATTAAGAACCTCTGCTCTAAACTTTCATTGAGCATATCTATAACTATTTTAGCTCAATTTTCTTTTTAATTTAAAATATCATTGAAGAATTTCTAAAAGCTGACACATGAATTATTTATATAATTTCTTTTTGACCTAAAAAATTATTGCCTTAAAGCTTTGTTTTTTCTTTAAGTCTGTATCTTGCAAAAGGAAAGAGTTCTTATGTTTTCATGTGTCCTCATCTGGAAGCTGCTTCAATCCTTGATCACTCAAGAGTTGTCTTTCTTTGTGACTCTTCTAAGTGTGTTGTGCCTTTCATCTAGTTCATCAGTGTATGTAATGTTTATATTGTGGCTGCCCCATGACTTTCCACATGGGTAAGATTATAGACTATGTTTTAATTAAAAAAAAACATATTTAGGATTTATAGCCCTCATGATCGTTTGTAGGCCTCGATGATGAGGGGGATAGACTTAAACCCAGGAAGATACAGGATAGAATTCCAGTTCAAACACTTACTAAGTGGGTCAACTTTGGCAAGTCACTTTACTCTGATCCAGTGTCTTCATCTTTAAAAGAGAGACAATAATATACCTATTTCATGGGATTATTGTGACTATCAAGTGAGATAATGCAGATAAAATATATTTTGAAAACATTTGTTAATACCTGATAATACCTTATTTGATCTTTACAACATCCCCTTGAGGACTGTTGTCCCCACTTTACCATTTGGGAAACTGAGGTCAGAGAGGAGAAGTACTTTGACAGGTTGACACAGCTTTTAAGTGTTTGAGGCAGGATTCAAACCTAAGTACTCTTGAAACTGAATCTAGCTCCATATTAACTATACTATATTGCCTTAAAATGTTATATAAAGGTAAATTGTTACTATTAATACTGTTAAGGAGAACAAGTCAAAATGCCAATACTGTGTTCCATGAGGAGAATTAAATGTGAAGGATTTAGGTGTAGAATGATGAATTTAGCCCTGGATGATTATTGAACCAAGTAGAAATAGTAGAGATAACTAAGTGGCATAGTAGATAGACTGCTGGACCTTGAATCAGGAAGATCTGAATTCTATTCTGGCCTCAGATACTTACTAGCAAATGGGTGGTGACCCTAGGCAAGCCATTTACCCTCTGTTTACCTTAATTTTTTCATCTGTAAAGTGGGAATAAAAGTAGCACCAACCTGCCACAGTTGTTGTGATGGTAAAATTAGATATTTATAAAAGACTTTGCAAACCTTAAAGCTCTATTTAAATTTTAGCTAGCAACATTACTAATAACATTTCATTATCTCATTTCTCCCTTTTCTTCTTTCTCATTTTTCCATTGACCAGGGAGTGAATCTTTACAAAGTGATGGAAGCTGGGAACTTTATTTGTAAAGCTATAAATAAGACAACAAATTCTAAAGTAGCACAGGCCTCGTTCAATGTTTGACATGAATGAAGCTGGGTTGTGAAATTTCGAAGCTCAGTCTCACCTGCATAGATCTCATCTGAATAACATTACCATCACTTTATTTGGAAATATGAAGTGATAGGCAGAAGTGGAAGTGGGCTCTTAAAAAGAAGATTGTTGACTCAAAGCATAGCATGGATACCAGGTAAATTGAAGGATTTGTGGATAAATAATAAAACAATTCAGTGTATAAACATATTAGAACTTAGAGAGAGAATGTCATATATTGCTGCGACAGAAATAACTTTTTAAATTCACTTGAAAATTGACTGCAGATTTCCCCAATATTGAATACTTGGTTAATACTTAATCAAGTTGGTTCAACACAGCGTACATATTTTCAGTAGTTTATGAGATTCCACATAGTGTGTGGCCCTGATATTATACATTTTGCTCCTGGATCTCAACTTTCTGTTTGCCAAGGCAGTTAAGTTGTGAATGAAGAGCCAAATCTCAATGTGACCCTAAGTAATTTTAGCAATAAGACTTTTGTATTTCAACTATAGTTAACATCTGTTAACTATTTGAATGACTTTATCTTGTTCCAAGAGGCTGTGGTCAATGGCAACATGCCATATCCTGGGAACATATTAGGACCTCCCATATTTGTTACATGCATCCAGTTCACCATACTTCTCTTTTCATCAGCTGCAGTACAAACCAATGGGCTCTTACTCAACAATAAAGAAATAGGAGATAGGATTTCCATCCCATTTACTTCATATCATAAAAGAGAATGATTCTGGCTGTACTTTTAGCACATCCTATTTTCACATTTTTTCCAGTTTCCATATTTCCCTTGTTACTCTAATTGTAATTGCAATGCTATTAAGGACAATCTTCAATGCATGGACAATGCCATTCTTCCTCATTCTATAGTTAAGCTAAATCATCATACAAACAGTTTACCTACTTTTTAGTACTGTGCCCAATGTTAAATTGATGAAATTCTGGCTTATCGTAAACTCCAGTTGGAAAAATTGTCACGTAGAAAATCCTTACTGAAATGTTCCAGGTCAGTGCATCAGAGAAGGGCAATGAGAAATACCATGTTAAGAATAACATTTCAGTAACCTATGCAAATCATGTGCAGAAAATGTAATATTTCACTCTGAAATGTCAGTTCTCTTATTTGTATAGGCTTCTCCAATAATACCTAATGATATTATCTTTTGAATAAATTAAATATTGGTTCACATATGAAAATGAACATTCTGGGCTTTCTGTTAATATTCATCAACTCTCTTAAAATATATTTTTTTGAAAATCAAGGCAAGAAGGAATGGTGCTGATTGTAACTAAGGCAGGTTTAATAACAGTAGCATGAATAATAAATTTCATAATGAAACATGCTGGGAATTGGCAGAACCAAAATAGCTAGCAGAGAAAGGCCTTATCTCACCTGGTAGGAGAACAGTAGTGAAGGAAGCAGACACTTCTACCCCAAACCTGCTTTGTCACCCAAAATGGTAAGCTCAGTTTCCTTCTTTCATTGAAAAAAAAAAACACTGATTGATGATGTCAAGGATATTTTCTTTCCCATTTCCCTAGTCCCCAAATGTATAACTATGCATGTTCTGCCCTGGTATCCCTTGTTACTTAACTCTTAAACCAAAATAAAACCTTTATATTCATCAGGAAATACTAATGTCACATGAGCCTCTGGATAAATAGGAAAGAATGTACTATGTCCAGTGAAGGAACAAAGTTCCTAAGATTTTCAATTCGAAGAAACTAGTTTCCATCTTGATATCCCTGGCTCCTTGCATAGTGCCTAACATAAATAAGGTCCTTAATCAATGCTTTATGAATTAAATTTAATGTTAGAAATCACCAAGTCCAAATATTTCAATATGTAGAGGAGGAAAGGGAAGCCCATGACTTAAACCCAGGTTTTTAGACTGCACATGTAGAGCTCTTCCCCCTATAATCTATTGCTTCTCTTTGAAATTCTGGTCTTCTCTATCACCAATGGAAGCCGCTGAGTTCCCTGCATTGTCTGTTGGTGTGAAACATAGAACAGAGAGCACTCCTCTGATGCACAAAACGTTAGATGTATTGCTAATAACATATTTAGCATTTACGTAGCACTTGAGAATTTACAAAGGGTATCTCATTTTATTCTCACAGTAACCCTGGGAGACAGATGCTATTCTTCTTCCCATTTTACAGATGAGGAAATTAATGCTGCTCAAGTGTAAGACTTGAAGTGACTTATTCAGGGTCATATAGCTAGTAAGTATATGAAGTCATATTTTCCTGACTACACATCAGAACTCTATCCTCTGTGCTACTAGATAAAAACCAAAAATCTTATAAAATATTGTCTGCTTCACTTCTCATCTAACTACGCACCAAGACACTAAGGCTTTCCCAGTGTGAACAACCTTGTGATCTGCACTAACACTGCATGGACACCTCCATTCTCCTTCCCCTCCTCTTCAGCCTGTCTCTACTACCTGGCTTGCCATTCTCTTGCTCTTTGTCCAGAATAACAATTAAATCAATACTACTTTTGCTACAGGAAAAGACAAGCCTAACTATTGCCTTACAATTCTTCTCACAACCTCTGTGACTGCCTAGACTAAAATGCCATTCCCTGGCTACCAATTCCATATATGTGTTGTGTCCCTTTATTAGAATGTAAGCTCCTTGAGGGCAAAGACTGTCTTGCTTTCGCCTTTATATCACTAGAACCAGAGATAATGCCTAGAACATAGTAGGTGATTAATAATAATAATAATTAATATACATGTATATATAGTGCTTTAAATAAATGCCTATCCTTTATTACTATTTTAATTATCTGTACATAATTATTACTTTAAAATGTGATTTTATTGCCATATGGTGTTTTCTTTTTCATCTTCAAATTTCCCCATGTATCATTTCTCTCCCCATTCTAGAGAGCTGTAACAAAGAATGTTTTCATAGTTCTTTAAGATTTACAGAGTGATGGTTATGATCATGACAGCTTTCATTTAGCTATCATGCTATCATTGAGCATAACAACCCTATGGATTAGAGCTATTATTATCGACCAGGAAACTGTGGCTCAGAGAAGTTTGAATGACTTGCCCAAGATTATACAGCTTATAGGCATCTGAGGCAGGATTGTATACTCAGGTTTTCTTAACTACAAGTCCAGCAGTGTATCCACTGTGCCACCTAGCTGCCTTTATTTCTTTTGATTCTCTCTCTCTCTCTCTCTCTCTCTCTCTCTCTCTCTCTCTCTCTCTCTCTCTTTTTGGTTAGGCAATGGGGTTAAGTGACTTGCCCAAGGTCACACAGCTAGTAAGTGTTATGTGTCTGAGGCCGGCTTTGAACTCAGGTCCTCCTGAATCCAGGGCTGCTGCTCTATCCACTGCGCCACCTAGCTGCCCCTATTTCTTTTGATTCTCATAACAACACTGTGAGATAGGAGTGCTATTCACAAGTAAGGAGACTGATGCTCAGAAAGTTTAGGTGATTGGTCCACTATTCAACAGTTCCTGAGTATCTGGAGTAGAATTTTAACTCAGGTCTTTCTGTCCCAGTTAGCTCTCTTCCCATTATACCAACTAAGTGCATGATTGATCATATACTCAGTTGTCTTCTTTCCCCAAGCTAACATCTCTAATTCTTTCAACCAATTCTCACATGACATGGTTTTCAATCTTCTTATCATCATGATTACCCTCCCCTGGATGTGTTTCAGTGTGTTAATATCCCTCATAAAACTTTGCACCATGAACTGAATAATCATATAGATGAGGTCTGACTAGGATCAAATACAGTAGGTTAATTATAGTAATAACTCTGGAAACAGTGCCTCCTAACTTAAGAAAGCCTTAGTTCACTTCTCTGGCTACCCGGTCACTTTGTTGACTCAGGAGCTCCTTAGTGATCAGTAAGCCCCTTGAGGGCAGATGTTATGCGTTGTTTTTCTTTGTATCTCTTTTTATATTTAGCACAGTGATTTTGGCATAATAATTGCTTGATAAACAATTGAAAATGTAGAGGAAAACCACACACACAGACAGATAGAGACAGACAGAGGCAGAGAGAGAAACAGAGAGAGAGAGAGAGAGAGAGAGAGAGAGAGAGAGAGAGAGAGAGAGAGAGAGAGAGAACTCAAATTAGAAATTTAATTAGTACCTTGGGAATCAGTGAGATCTATTGATCTGACTTACAGCTGAACTTTCCCATATATGTTGACTTACCCTGTTAGAATGTGAGATCCTCCTGAGAAGAGTGTATCTTACTTGTTTCTTTTTGTCTTCAATGGTTAGAACAAAGTATTTGATACAGGTTTTTTTCATTCATTCATTCATTCAAAAGGATAGAATTGTGTTCCCTGACTATCCAAATTACTACCACCATTTGTGTTAACAAGGTATCCTATTTTAAGGAAACAAAGAGGCCACACGGATTGCTATACAAATTGAATGAGGAGGCAGGGTATTACAACTAGAAATTACTGGTACTGGGAAAGGTTATAAGTAAGATACATCTGTGGAAGTTGAAGGTATAATTCATCCTGATCTATGGTATACCTTTGGTGTAAGAATAGAAAGAGTGCTTGTTGCCTTCTCTTGACACCTGCTTTTTCTCCCTTCCTACAAAATCTTGTAGTCAGGACAGCCTAATAAATCATAAAACACTCAACTTTAAGATAGTGCATGAACTGGGAAAGAACAGTTACTAATGATCTCTTAGTTGCTAAATACAATTGCCTTTTCTTGGTCCTCATTTTCCTTGACCTCTCTGCAGCTTTTGATACTGTTGATCACTCTCTCATCTTTAAAACACTTTTCTCTCTAGGTTTTTGGGACACCATTCTCTTCTAGTTCTCCTCCTACTTATCTGACCATTCTTCTGTCTTCTGCTGGATCCTCCTCCAGATCATACCCTAACCAAAAGTGTCCCTCAGGGTTCTTTTCTGGGCCTTCTTCTCTTCTCCTTCTATGCTATTTCACATAGTGATCTCAACAGGTCTCATGGATTTAATTACCCACTGTACGCTGATGCTTTTCTTTTCTTTTTCTTTTTGGTGAGGTGATCCAGGGTTAAGTGCCTTGCCCAGGGTTTCACAGCTAGTAAGTGTTAAGTGTCTGAGGCTGGATTTGAACTCAGTTCCTCCTGACTCCAAGGTCAGAACTCTATTCACTGTGCCACCTAGCTGTTTCTATGCTGATGCTTTTCAAATCTACCTGTCCTGCTCCAATATCTCTGTTGACTTCCAGTCCTGCATCTCTCACTGCCTTTCAGATGTCTCACGTTAGATATCCAATAGACATCTTAAACTCAATATGTTCAAAACAGAGCTTCCCTTAAACCTTCCCCCTGTTCCTACTTTCTGCATTACTATAGAGGGCGATACCATCTTCCCAGTCCTTCAGACTTGCAACCTAAGAGTCATCCTAGAATCCTTGCTATCTCCCCACTCTCATCCAATCAGTTGACAATGCCTGCATATTTCACCTTTGAAACATCTCTTAAATAGTGTCCTCTGACACTGCCACCACTCTAGTGTAGGCCTTCATCACCTTATGCCTTGATTACCATAATAGCCTGCTGATAGGTCTGCCTGACTTAAATAGCTCTCCACTCTAATCCATTCTCCATTCAATCACTAAAGTAATTTTCCTAAAATGCAAGTCTGATCCTGTCACTCCATTATTATGTAAATTTCAATGACTTTCTCCAGGAACAAACACAAAACATTCTGTTTGGCATTCAAAGCTCTTCATTACCTTTTCAGTCTTCTTACACCTTCTTTCCCAACATGACCTTCATTCCTGGGACCCTGGCCTCCTAATTGTTTCACAAATAAGACATGCCATCTCTTGGCCCTGGACATTTCTTCTGACTTTCCCCCATGTCTGGAATTCTGTCCCTCCTCTGCTCCTAGTCCTGACCTCTCTGACTTCCTTAAGTCCCAATTAAAATCCCACCTCCTGCAGGAAGCCTTCCCTAAAACCTCTTAATTTCAGTACTTTCCCTCTTTTAACTGTTTCCTATTTATCCTCTATATCTCTATATAGCTTGCTTTACATGTATTTGTTTGCATGTTGTCTCCTCCAGTAGACTGAACGTTCTTTGAGAGCGAGGAATATTTTTTGTCTCTTTTTGTATCCCTTACACTTCACACATTGACTGACACATAGTAGGTGTTTAATAAATGTCTATTGATTGATTTTTCCTTGACT